TGCATTCATTTTGCTTTATGAATATGATGTTTACCCAAAAGACATAACAGCTTAACCAGATCAGCAATTTCACAGATTCCACATTCAAAAATAAGACCATACTTTCAGATAAAGGGACCGAGATATTATGAGATTCCCATATTAATAATAATTGTGACCAAAAGTCATATAAAAAAGCACACTCATAAAATAAATGAGAAAACGACTCCGTCTCTGACTCACAAAAAGAGCATAAAGGGGAGACATCAGATCTAAACTTGTGAATAAATTCATTACAAGGATCATATCTGTGTAGAATTTTTACCTGCATTTCTTTCACTTTGTTGGGGACAAAAAAACGGTTCAAGTCTGACCAGACCGTCCTGTTAAAATTCGGGAAAACTGCTTTCCAACGATAAAAGGCAGTAGGACACTGGAGAGAGGTAAAAACCCTTCTGATATGCACATTACTACAAGAGCTGTCCTCAAGAGTCTTCCCACCAAGCCACAAACGCGGGATCACCCCTGATACAGGTTCACATATCAGCGCAGCTTTAATGAGGGATAACACCTGAGCAGGTTTGCTGTTAATTACTTTGGCAAACTGAGGCCGAGATATTTCAACACTCCTTTGCTGGACAAACTCTTCATACGTAGCCAGGTCCTCTGTGTCCCTAAACAGTTCATCCCTCGGTCAAACCAGTCCTTAACAAACATGGTCTTATTTCTATTTACAGCATACGTGTGATCAGGGCTTGTTTATGCAAGTTGGCAAGTTTAACAGGAAGTTTACCCGAAACAAAATTACAAGAAAGCAAAAACCTGAAACCACCACACTGATCAAACATAAACACCAAGGACAGTTATTATGAATTAAACAAAGTCTTAACCAATTAATCTTAAAGATACTATTAATGGTAAACATTCAGGCCTCCTTCTGAATACTCAAAGTTTTCCTCTTTACATATTCTGTTTTATTCTTTCAAATGAATTTAAATAAGACAGTCGATGGCTGCACACGTTTTCCTATCAACATATAATGATAAAGCTGGATACACCAATCTAGATAAACCTCTACCCAAAATAGAAAGATCCCTTTGTAGCCAACAATTAAAAATAGATTTAGATCGTCCAATTTGTGGTAAAACATTAAGTGAAATCCTATCCTCTTTAGATTTACTTATAGTGATACCCAAATATTTAACAACTTTTTTAACCTTTATCCCATCTACTGAGCGGATATTGGAGTCCTGTACAGTCATTATTTCACACTTATCCTCATTAATTGTGAGACCAGATGCAAGCGAAAATAATTTTAAAGCATTTATAATAATTGGTACCTGAAGTCCATTTTGGAGACAGGTATCATCAGCCAGCTGACTAATGAGTAAAGTATTTTCACCTATCTTTATACCCTGTACAATTAACAATATACAAATTAAGAAGTTCAGCAGCCATTAAAAATAAAAAAGGACACTGTTGTCTGATCTGAAGTGCCATGTGCTAAGGATACACTACTATTAATGTTACAATAAAATGTACCAAAATATTTTAAAGCCTCAATAATAAAGGGATGCTCAACCGTGTCAAAAGCTTTGTAAAAGTCCAAAAACAAGATCAATGAATCGCCGTCAAATAACTCTGTGAAATGTGCCGACCCTTCATAAAGCCCGACTGCGTTGGAGAGATAATCTCCTCTAAACACAATTTTAACCTTTGAGCAAACAGTGCAGCAAGTAGTTTATATTCTGAATTAAGTAAGGTTATAGGACGCCAATTATCTAGATGAGAAGATCTTTGTGTTGTTTAGGGAGATCAAACCTTGCTTCATGGAAACAGTTAACTCATTATGTTTGGCTTCCACTAACGTGTTTAACATCCTCCTTTTGTTTGACGGCATTTTCCTGATGATCGACTGTAATTCTTGCAACGAGATTGGACCTTCACAAAGCTCGCAGGTTTTTTTAGACATCTTTGGAATAAAAGGGCTTTGTCAAAGAAGACATGACAAGCCTGAGGGTCAAAGGATGATGTATATAGCTTTTGATAAAAATGAGCAATAAATGAGGAGATCTTCTTCTCACTCGTAGAAAGACAGTTATCAATATATAAAGTAGAAAGCTTTTTTGCTTCACCACCAGATTAAAAAAGAAGAAAGAATTTCATTCTCCATGCTCCAACCATCTGGCACGAGATCTTATGAAAGCTCCCATTGCTTTTCTCTTAATGAGTGTAATCTCTCTTGCTCGGAGAAGGAATATTCAGAATATCATTCAACCTTTTCATATCGTCTACATAAGCCTTATTTAGATTTATTGAGTGCCGCTTCCCAAATTGAAAGTTTGAAAGTTGAAAGAAAGTTTGACATTCAAATTTAAATAATTCCCATTTTACACATCACACACTGACTGAGAAATAATCAGATTGTTTTAAGAAGGTATCCAGGATTACGTCGAGGATATCCCTCTATGAAATGGAAAAAACCCCCAAACAAATATCCCTACATCTTCCTTTCCACATAAGAATAATACCAGGGGGAGGTGAACATACTTTGCCATTACAGGTGCTTCTGATTCAAGCGAGATCCTCCACAGAGATCTTCTTACTGGCAATGACAGCACACGGACCACTAAAGCCGGCTCTCTTGTTTTGCTTCCTAGCCTCCTCCGCCAGCGGCCACAGCTCGGCTCTGGCATCCTTCACCTGCTGCGTCAAGTCCTCCGATATTTTATATCTGAGAGAGAAACGGACGATGATACGGCGCGGAGGTCCTTCTTTCCTTGAGCGTGGGCCCAGTCTGTCGGCAAGAGCGGGAGAAACACCAGAAAAAAGTTCCATCGCAGTCATTTTAACGTTTTCACCCTCATGTTCCAGCGTACGCATCCAGCTCATTCACTTTATTCTTATTACTTCTTACTTCTTATTTCAGCCCTCAAAGTATTAAGCTGGAGCCCCAGGGGGTCCCACTCTGGATGAAAGCTCTCCAACCGTTTTCTCTGTAGCTTTCACAGAAATCAATAGTGCTTGAATATTCTCCAAGTTTTGGAAAACTGTCTTTTCTATGGTTTCAAGTTTCTCAGAAATCTTCTTAATTGCGGCCAACGTGACATCATTAGAGGGCTGCTTTTTTCATTGGACCTTCTTCCAGGTCCGCCTGATGTCGTTCGGCAGTCATGAACACGTTTAAGATTGTCAGCCGTACCTTCCACTTCCATTGTCTCATTTCAGCAGAATGAGTTGTCAATTGTAAAGTGGAGGACCAACGTATCCAACAAACACTCTACACTAGGCAGCTAGCTATAGCGTTTAGCAGCGTTAACTTAGCTTGACGACAGCACCGTTCGTTGGAGAGAAAACCCACAGAAAAATAAAACAAAACTGGGTCAAAGTATCGCCAGCCGTTTTCAAAGCATTGTTCTTAATGTTGGAAAAAACTATTCACAAATAAATTCAAGCACTGAATGAAAAAGACTTGCCAGAGTACAAAAAAACCGTCTTACAGCGGCGCCATCTTGGCCCCAATCCAATTCGCTTGAGTTGAAAATATTCAGTCAAGAAGTCGCATGACACAGAGTCGCGATACCCTATCAGTGTTGAGATTGTGCGTACGTCACCGAGGCTTCAGAGCGGGGGATCCAGCTGCTGAACGTGGGGGAGGGGAGCAGCGCTGCAACCTTTGGACAAATAAACCCCCGTAGTCGGTCTGGATTCGGCTCTGACAGCTACGCCGTTTACTCGAGGGAGGAGCTCGGAGTTAACTGCTTTTATTAAATCAGCTTTTTACTTTAGTTTTTGGGATTACAGCTTGATTTATCGTCACTGGAGCTTCTGTGCACATCCGGTTCCGCTGTTGTTGTTAGCGTCGTTTGCTCTGTCAGACTACGACTTCATATTTATATTAAAAATGGACAAAACTGAACATTACTTGGAGAAAAGAAAGCGAGGAGGTTGAACTACCTGGCGAGTTCAGAAAACATGTGTCTGTAACTTTATTCCAGCTGTCGTACTTTACTGTGACCAGGTTAGCGTAGCATAGCCCTGATCGATCCGAACTCCATTCAGAAAACAAACGTTTCAGAAGCTGCTGTCCTGCTGACAGAGCTGACAAAGCATGAATTCATATGTTTAACAAATCTGCATCATGTTGTAGTTATTTCAGCATCAGATTGATCCATTTGTTGCTCTTTAATCACAGCAACATGTTCACTTTGGGTTCATACAGCTGGAGTAACGGCGAGGTGCGTTTATTCACGTTAAAATCGCCTTCTCGCCTTGTGTGTGAACACTTGCGGAGGAGAAAATCCACAGTTGGTCTGAAAGCACCGTTAGTTTGGTTTAGCAGCTCCTCCTCTTTGTTGTGTCTGTCGACGGTCGAGTGGAAACATCCAGCCAATCAGTAACGTAATGCAGTACTAAAATATGATGCCGTTAGTCTCCTAATATTACGACTTCTTTTCTTTACATGTCAGAGAACTCAGATATGTGGGAGAGATTCTGAATGTGCAGAGTTTTCAACATGAGCAGATAAGTTAGTGTTTCCCGTACGTTCATTTAAGGCGGCCCGCCATATTTTTTTACTAGGCCTATTTAAAATCGTATTTGATTGCAGAGCTGCAGGCAGCACGAGTCAAAATGTGGAGTAAATGTGGAGACGTTGTCTGTCTCCTGAGGACTCACCTGAGCCAGCCCTAACTATAAGCTTTATCAAAGAGGAAAGTCTTAAGCCTACTCTTAAATGTGGAGATGGTGTCTGCCTCCTGAACCCAAACTGGAACCTGGTTCCACAGGAGAGGAGCTTGATAGCTGAACGCTCTGGCTCCTAGTCTACTTTTGGAGACTCTAGGAACCACAAGTAACCCTGCATTCTGGGAGCGCAGTGCTCTGGTGGGGTAGTAAGGTACTATGAGCTCTTTAAGATAAGATGGTGCCTGACCATTAAGAGCTTTGTAGGTAAGAAGAATGATTCTACAGGAAGCTGAGGAGAGACGTGACCTCTGCTTCCTGTCACAACGTGCTGCAGCGTTCTGGATCAGAGACCACATGTAAACTTTTATTTCATCAGAAAACAGAAACATTTGATTTGTTTTTTGCATTTTTCAGAAAAGAAAAAACTTTTTAACAATAAAAAAGGCGCGTTCTGCTGTGACATCACGCCTGACATCATCATGACATCACTCAGACAGCCAGAGTTTGAAGGTTCGGTCGTAGGAGCTGGTGGCGATCAGTTTCCCGTCAGGTGACACGTCGACGGACATCACCTGAAAACACAAACGGGTTTGATGCGTTAAAGAACCCGAGGCGTCTCCACCAATCAGCCGCAACGTCCGAGTCTGTACCTTCCCCTCGTGTCCGGCGAGCGTCTTCATCGGCGTCCAGCCCGGGTGACTCCAAACCTTCGCCGTGTTGTCGTACGCTCCAGTCAACAGGAAGTGACCGTCTGTGGCTGCACACAAACAGGAAGTGAGGTCAGAGACAGGAACAGGAAAGAGAGTCAAAGGTTTGAAACTAAAGAGCTTTATTTGTAATAATGAGGGACAGGACCCGTTGAAGAGCTCTGTGGGCACAAACAGAGCTGGTGAACTTACGCTGGAAGCGGACAGCGGACAGCAGGTTCTGGTGGGCGGGGACTGTGTACAGACACTTCCTGTTCCTCAGCTCCCACACCTTACAGGTGTGATCACCACTTCCTGTCGCCAGGTGATACCTGAGAGCAGCAACAACACAGACAATATTCACATCATCAACACGGGTCCTTCAGTCCCGCCCCCCCTCACAGATCCAGAAGCTGGTCTGGATCTGTGAGGGGGGGGGGACAGTGAGCCAGCTCGGCTTTCTGCTCAGACCCGATCCCGAGGAGGAAACTGATTACAGAGAACAGGATGCGCATCACATTGGCTGCAGCGGCGCCCTCCAGTGAAGGGGGAAGTCTGGCGACGTGCTAACGTGTGACCACGTCCCGGGGAGGAGGTGGAAGGACGGCTCTGAAACCAGGTAAACAAACACGCCGACCGGTGTCCGGCAGCCATCTCGTTTCCCCTCTGCCTCTACAGAAAACGCGAGTGTTCATGTCGTCACGTAACAGAATCCGTTGTCCACCAGAGAGACGCGTTACGGGTGTGACCTCAGCGACGTCAGCAGATTACAGGAGCGTGCTCGACCGCTGCACGTGGTAATCGCGGAGGGCGGATATAGGGTCGCTCTTATTTCTAATATCTGGCGGCGGTGACAGAAAGCGGTGAATATTAATCCACTGCGTATCATTTACACCTGAAATGAGTTTCCTCCTTTTCCTCAGCTGAAACGAAGACAGAGCCACGTGTGCAGAGCAGCCCGGTAGCTTTAAATGGAATCAGCGCTTTTCTTCTCTTTCTGGACCCGTGTTCTGTAGCAGGAGCCGCGGCGTCCCAGTCTAAGCCCGACCGCTCTGGGTTTGTGGGGCCGATGCCGATAGAGAAAGATCTGGAGCCCTTTACTTTATAAAGCCGGTGTGCATGTGGGCCAGAAAACCTTGTCCTGAATGGATGAGGTCAATAAAAGAGATCAGTGTCAACGATCAATAAACATTTGCTGCTGGAAGGTGCAACTTCTCCAGCCGCCTGTAAACAGAGAGAATAAACGGGTTTCACTTTACACATAATCTGCCATAAATCCAGCTCATCTCTTCACCAGCACTCTTTGATTCTGACCAAAGCCACGAGAGAACGTTTAACCTCCGTCGGTATAAATCACGGCGTCTAGGATCCAGTGAGCTGCTGCTGAATAACTCTAATACAACACGACTCTCTGCAGCTTTGACATTTCATTTAACTAACGTTATAACCACAACCGGCGCCGCTCCGACAGCGTTTCACCTCTACAGCGGCACACACAGAGCCTGAGCTAACCGGTCGACATGCATATAATCAATAACTTAGGCACACCCTGGTTGGGGTAAGAGGAATATACTTCGGGGGGCTGTCAGGAATAGCCAGCTAGCTCCGGTCACACAAACCACTGCAGCCAACACAGCAGACCAGCAACAGCTGATAATGTTCGTACCGCTGTTATTCTGCCAATAAATTCTAACCTAAATCCAGACACATCTGGCTCGTGATGCAACATTACAGAATATTCTTGGTTTGTGAAACTTAAAATCACTTTGGAAGAAATTAAATGTACAACAGTGGTATGAATTGAAACATTTCTTTATTATTATCATTAGGCTGTTAGAAATAAGTATTTGCAGGAATTATGGTATAAATATACTATATTAATATATATAAGTATAGTGAATATTAACACATAACGTACTCTGATTACTACGTTGACACTTGACACCTCTTTTTTTATTTAACAACTATGCGTGGGCCGAGCGGTCGAGATAAACGTCATCACGTTTTGTGCGCGGTGGCTTCTGGGAGACCATATATGGAAGTTCAACTTCCGTCACGTTTGTCTGGCTTTTATGCAGCTGGACTCTTCTCCACATCTCTCTGGTTTGGGAACGCTACAGAGAGAACGGCTCTGAGCGGACCAATCAGGAGCTGGCCCTAAAGACGCATCTCCTCTCATTGGCTGCGTCTTTAATGTGCTCTCCTCTGATTGGCTGCGTCTTTACTGTGCTCTCCTCTGATTGGCTGCGTCTTTACTGTGCTCTCCTCTGATTGGCTGCGTCTTTAATGTGCTCTCCTCTGATTGGCTGTGTCTTTACTGTGCTCTCCTCTGATTGGCTGCGTCTTTAATGTGCTCTCCTCTGATTGGCTGCATCTTTAATGTGCTCTCCTCTGATTGGCTGCGTGTTTACTGTGCTCTCCTCTGATTGGCTGCGTGTTTACTGTGCTCTCCTCTGATTGGCTGCGTGTTTACTGTGCTCTCCTCTGATTGGCTGTGTGTGTGGTGTGCTTGTCTGTGATTGGCTGACCCGTTGGGCGAGAAGTGTAGGCTGTAGATCTCCTTCAGGTGTCCCTCCAGGAAAACAACACAGCGTCCTGTCCGAAGGTCCCACACCCTGCCGAACGCATCCAGCCCTCTGATTGGACGACAGTCAAGAGGTGTGGGGCAAAAGACAGATGGAGAGAGATGATTGGTCCAAAGACAGGGGGCGGGGCCACAGAGACACAGGATTTAAACTTCACACATAATAAATCCAAAACATACAAAGCAACAAAATGAACCGACACACTGTAGTACCAGTACTACTGTCAGATACAAAGTACTACAGGGTACTGATTCTACACTCTGTGCAGTACTGCATGGACTAATGATTCTATTGTGTAGTACTACTTCAGCTATTAGTTGGAGTACAATATCACTGATTAATAGCTAGGGCTGAACGACTGATTGCTGGAGAATGACTGAGCTGGTCTGTTAAACACGAGGCGCGTCACTTTGTTTTATTTTCCTCGGCCAGCTTTTGAACTGAAGAGTGTACTACAGAGTGTACTACAGAGTGTACTACAGAGTGTACTACAGAGTGTAGCACAGAGTGTACTACAGAGTGTACTACAGAGTGTACTACAGAGTGTAGCACAGAGTGTAGCACAGAGTGTACTACAGAGTGTACTACAGAGTGTACTACAGAGTGTAGCACAGAGTGTAGCACAGAGTGTAGCACAGAGTGTAGCACAGAGTGTAGCACAGAATGTACTACAGAGTGTAGCACAGAGTGTAGCACAGAATGTACTACAGAGTGTAGCACAGAGTGTAGCACAGAGTGTACTACAGAGTGTAGCACAGAGTGTACTACAGAGTGTACTACAGAGTGTAGCACAGAGTGTAGCACAGAGTGTACTACAGAGTGTAGCACAGAGTGTACTACAGAGTGTACTACAGAGTGTAGCACAGAGTGTAGCACAGAATGTACTACAGAGTGTAGCACAGAGTGTAGCACAGAGTGTACTACAGAGTGTACTACAGAGTGTAGCACAGAGTGTACTACAGAGTGTAGCACAGAGTGTAGCACAGAGTGTAGCACAGAGTGTACTACAGAGTGTACTACAGAGTGTAGCACAGAGTGTAGCACAGAGTGTAGCACAGAGTGTACTACAGAGTGTAGCACAGAGTGTACTACAGAGTGTAGCACAGAGTGTAGCACAGAGTGTACTACAGAGTGTACTACAGAGTGTACTACAGAGTGTACTACAGAGTGTACTTTACCCGGTGGCAGCCAGCGAGCCGTCAGGATGGAAGTGGATGTCGTGGACTCCTTTGCTGTGACCCTCCTGATGGAGGATTTCCTCCTGAACCTCCAGATCCCACAGACGCCATGAGTTATCATAACTGCAGGAAACACAGGAATACTACGATATAACAATACTACCAGATCACAAATACTATGAGATAATGAATGTGTACACAAACATGCATTTAATGTGTTTTTGTAAATATACTGAACATTGGATTACATAATTTATATTGATGATGTCATTAAATGAGCTGAATGTTTTATGTAGCAGAACAAAGCGACGCTCGCACCCCGACTACCTGCCTGTGTATTAGTACACAGAACAAAGCGACGCTCGCACCCCGACTACCTGCCTGTGTATTAGTACACAGAACAAAGCGACGCTCGCACCCCGACTACCTGCCTGTGTATTAGTACACAGAACAAAGCGACGCTCGCACCCCGACTACCTGCCTGTGTATTAGTACACAGAACAAAGCGACGCTCGCACCCCGACTACCTGCCTGTGTATTAGTACACAGAACAAAGCGACGCTCGCACCCCGACTACCTGCCTGTGTATTAGTACACAGAACAAAGCGACGCTCGCACCCCGACTACCTGCCTGTGTATTAGTACACAGAACAAAGCGACGCTCGCACCCCGACTACCTGCCTGTGTATTAGTACACAGAACAAGCGACGCTCGCACCCCGACTACCTGCCTGTGTATTAGTACACAGAACAAAGCGACGCTCGCACCCCGACTACCTGCCTGTGTATTAGTACACAGAACAAAGCGACGCTCGCACCCCGACTACCTGCCTGTGTATTAGTACACAGAACAAAGCGACGCTCGCACCCCGACTACCTGCCTGTGTATTAGTACACAGAACAAAGCGACGCTCGCACCCCGACTACCTGCCTGTGTATTAGTACACAGAACAAAGCGACGCTCGCACCCCGACTACCTGCCTGTGTATTAGTACACAGAACAAAGCGACGCTCGCACCCCGACTACCTGCCTGTGTATTAGTACACAGAACAAAGCGACGCTCGCACCCCGACTACCTGCCTGTGTATTAGTACACAGAACAAAGCGACGCTCGCACCCCGACTACCTGCCTGTGTATTAGTACACAGAAAAAAGCGACGCTCGCACCCCGACTACCTGTGTGTGTATTAGTACACAGAAGTTACCTGGTGGTTCCCAGGAACCTCCCTGAAGGATGCCAGGACACTCGAGAAACTCGCTGACTGTGACCCTCGATGTCCGCCACTGGCTCGTCACTACGGCAAACAGGGAAACAGAAAGGATGATGTTAACAAGTAGGAAGGTTCATTATTATTCACTTCTTAAATACTTGTCTCCTCCCTGCTTGCCCCTTTATCTCCTTCCTTTTTGTCCTCCCTAAATGTCTCCAAGTCTCCTCTTCCCTTGTCTCCTCCCTCCTTGTCCCTTTATCTCCTTTTTGTCTCCTCCCTCCTTTCTTTCCCCTCCCCCTTGTCTCCTCCCTCCTTTCTTTCCCCTCGTCTCCTCCCTCCTTTCTTTCCCCTCGTCTCCTCCCTCCTTTCTTTCCCCTCATCTCCTTCCTCCTTTCTTTCCCCTCCTCTCCTCCCTCCTTGTCTCCTCCCTCCTCTCCTCCCTCCTTGTCTCCTCCCTCCTCTCCTCCCTCCTTGTCTCCTCCCACCTTGTCCCTTTATCTCCTTTTTTGTCTCCTCCCTCCTTGTCCCTTTATCTCCTTTCCTCCACCTTGTCTCCTCCCTCCTTTCTTCCCCCTCCTCTCCTCGTATCCTCCCTCCTTGTCTCCTCCCCCTTGTCTCCTCCCTCCTTTCTTTCCCCTCGTCTCCTCCCTCCTTTCTTTCCCCTCGTCTCCTCCCTCCTTTCTTTCCCCTCGTCTCCTCCCTCCTTTCTTTCCCCTCGTCTCCTCCCTCCTTTCTCCTCCCTCCTTTCTTTCCCCTCATCTCCTTCCTCCTTTCTTTCCCCTCCTCTCCTCCCTCCTTGTCTCCTCCCTCTTGTCTCCTCCCACCTTGTCCCTTTATCTCCTTTTTTGTCTCCTCCCTCCTTGTCCCTTTATCTCCTTTCCTCCACCTTGTCTCCTCCCTCCTTTCTTCCCCCTCCTCTCCTCGTATCCTCCCTCCTTGTCTTCTCCCTCTTGTCTCCTTTCCTCCCCCTTGTCTCCTCCCTCCTTGTCCCTTTATCTCCTTTCCTCCACCTTGTCTCCTCCCTCCTTTCTTCCCCCTCATTTCCTCGTCTCCTCCCTCCTCGTCTCCTACCTCTCTAGGTTCCACAGCTTCACAGACCCTCAGCAGCACAGGAGCCAAGCTACGTCTGATTGGTCGAGAGAGATTCCGGCCTGCGGGCGGAACACGACCGCGCCCACATTCGTGTTGT